TTTAAGATGACACATAGATCTGTGCTCGGAGTGGATGGTGAACCCTTCGAGTGCCTCTTACATTTTTTTTAATCTACTGATTTCTGATAGTTTAGTTTCATGCTATGTAAATTTATAATACACTTTTTCCTTTTTTTATCCTACTCAAACAGATATCGAAACTGTCTAACATCTGCTGATTAAACAAAAGAGTGGGTGTTATTCCAAAAAACTCTTTGCAGAAACAGATTTTCTGTTATTTTCACCAAACAGCAAGAGTTAACCTTAACATGTGATACATGTGAAAAAAATCTGAATTCAAACATGTAAAAGTCGAATATGGCGCCCACAAGAAAAACAAAGCTGTAGGATGTCGCGAATCCATAAGTTGGCTTATAGATACAACATTGCTATGTTGTAGAAGAAAAAAAAGTTGCAATGATGAAGTCTTATTCATTTTAAATTTTCTCGCCAAATAAGCTAACAATTTTTCCGAATTTCGTTTTTTTCCGGATATCTCCCAAAGTAGCAGACTTTTTTACATTTTCAATGAGCATTTTAATATGCTGTGGACTGTGCAACTTTGCCTCAATTTAATCTATCTCGTATCCAGTATGGATACCAAGATCCCCATGGTTGAGCTGCAAAAACGGACACCCTGTATATTTTTTACTAGGAATGTTCTTATGCACTCATAGCTAGATATTGAAACAAACGTGTTCAAAATATTGATATATGGTTTTTGTCTATTGATGATTAAATCAGTCATCCGAGGTTTAGGTAAACCGAACAGGTTGTGCAAACTTCCCGTTCAAATGATCCATACCTACATGTCTGTAGAAGGAAAAATATTGTTCTAAGTTGGACTAACTTTCCTAAAGTATGGTTGCACATTGACTGTTTTACAAGAAATTGAAATTTCTGGGCCAGCCTCTGAGTCCAGCCAATCGCTGTTATCCTGTTAACCTTGCGACTACGACCTAACTAGGATCAACCTTGGAATGTTTGCTTAACTTTTCATATAAATAACAATGGTTTAAAATGTTTGGGTAAACGTAGTAACGGTGATATACGAGTGAAAGTGTCAATTGTAACTCTTGTAAATATCTGCCGACTGGCTAATTTGCGTCTTGATCTACCAATACTACATTTTTCGGAATCTACTTGCTAAAAAGCTATTGTGGCAGTAAGAAAGAATATACAATTTCAAACTTTACTTGGCTCTCGCTAAAGGAGACTGCAAGGTTTTGTAATGGGAACAAGAAGGCAAATTTTGTAGTCGCATTTAAAAATCTTCCAAGCACCTTTAAAACACTATATTTTACTATGATGTCATTTTCCTAGGAGAAATACGAGCTGAAATTTATTTATTTCGATTATTAAAAAGTGCAGACGATCCTGTCACTCCACATGACCATAAAGCTGAAAGCATGTTCCAGGAAAAGCTAAAACTAAGGTAAAACACGTTCTCGGCTACGTGGCGTTGAAAAACGCCATCTTTTCATTCGCGACGCCAGCGGCACCCAAGATGACGCACTGAAAATTGGATGTCACTTGGAGGTGTCACCGATGTTCTGCTGTTTTTACTACCGCAGGCAACGGCCACGCGATGAGATCTAGACAAATCAGCCAGAAACAAATGAGAGCGCGGTTGCTAGATGAAAGGGATTGATGGCGTCGCGAGGTTTGAGGGTAGGTGGAAAATTACAGAGAGAAATTCGTTTCGGTCTCAGCAATTTGTCGGGAATTTCATATCTTATGATAAACCTGATCAAAAATGAAATGTAGAAGGGGACTTAATGAAAAGTTCAATATAACGTTTATTGATTTATTGTCTACGTTTTTCCAAAATGCCACATAAGGGCTTAAAAAATCCTGTATAAAAATACTTTCAATATATTTTTTTTGAACAATAGACGAATGTCTGGGGAGCCATAAAAAAATGTTATGATTCCAAAGTCAATTACTTACATAAAAATTGATAAGTACACTACTTAATGCTTGAAACAGTTGAAAATTCTGCCAGCAAATTACTGTCGCCAGCGGCTTCCAAATGAAAAATATCTTTCCTCCCAGACTTGCCTAAACTTTTGTCTTCATTTCAATTAGAAAATGTTGAAAAACAGTTCAAGCATAACGAAACCATTTGCGAATTAGCTCGGAAGTATGTTCATACGTAAGCCGCTAAAAGGTGTATTCTAGAATTGATTCATGGGATGAGGTGGAACGTAGAACCACCTTCTTGTCTTTCACAACAAACTCTAACAGTTCCCTTGAAAATAGGTTCTAACATTCGCAATAACATCGTTTTGACTCAGAACTACTGGGTAGTGAAATTACCGATCGGCTACTATTATCAATCTATTGGAACCATCTTTTTAATTGTTTCAGCAGAAGTTCTGTATTCTAAAGCAGTTCGACTGTTAGTTGAACTGAACCTAATCCATACATTACTGTAAAGCTATTCAATGCATCATGTCAGTTTAAGGAGATTATTCCATTTTTGGCGATGATTGCGTTGGTGTTTTTTGGAAAATATCACTTCCACTGACTTTTATTGAATGAAACACACTCATGAAGCTTTTTTAAAATACTGAAATCTCGAGCTTTTTATGCCATATTTACAAATAAACTCTTTATTTTCTCTTTAGATTTATTGCAACATTGTCATTCTGTATACCCAAATAAAGCCATTTATTATAAACCATTTATCACATCATGCATACGTAATATAATTTGTACAAATTATCGGTATTTCGGCCGTTTAAAATAGGCGTTTGTAATATAAACATGTTTTTCGATATCTGCATTAATATTTACGGTCGTAAACGCATTAAAATTTAATATAATATAAATATTGAATAAATTAGTATCGCAAAATATGCTACCTTTGTTTGGCCGGATCAAAAATGTGCGAATGGCTGAACAAACAAAATATTTGCGATTGGCTATAATTCTATTTGCGTTGTCCGCACCTCCGTTCGTGGGATTTTGAAAATCATAAAATCGGCCAGCATTATAACATGGCTGAATCCGGAAAAAGCAATAAACAGAACTTTTAATCAATCCTTACACCAATACAGCGGCTATTAAATCTACCTGTCATGTTTTTTTAGTATTATTTCAGCTATGATTTACGAAGGTCACATAAATTAAAATTACATATTGTCCCAAAAAAACATAACGGCTAGCGAGTCCAACAATAAAAATAAATTAATCAGATCATAATCAGCTTTCAAATATATACATCAAGTACATATACAATACAGGTTGTTTGATGGCCGTTTACAGTATAGGTATAACTTCATTATAAAGTGCAAGTCTAATATTGTAAATTTCGATTAACTACATACGTAGGATATCATTTTGTCTCAAATTTTGAATACTTTATATTACAATATACATTTTTATAACTTTGAGACAGCAACACTATATAATATAAGTGGTTCAACACCACAAAAGTTTTCATTTCTTGTTGTTTATTCCATATCTTAAATCGCGTGATACAAATAGTAATGAGAAATACAAACGTCATTAAGGCAAACCTAAAATATCCAGAAGCTTATTTAGGCTGATGAATACCTGTTTCAATGTGCCTAAACCGTTATTACGTATTTAAAATTTGCGTAACTGTTCAAACTTCTCCAACTTGGCACTCCAAACTACTTAATACACATTATTAAACAAGTACTCGAAGACAGACAACTAAAGGTACGAACCAACCATGACTACCCCATCCCCATTTCACCTGAGCAAGGCTTACCTCAGGGTTCATCACTCCCACCCCTGCTTTACAACATATATTGTCATAACATATACAACCACAACAGACAAGACAAAGAAGATATAGATACTAAAACGCTTACTGGCTGCAATACACCGACCACACCACCCCTATCGCACATGACAGAACAACCGGTAGAGCAGTGGACAGATTCCAGACACTTACAGACCTAATAACAGCGTGGTCTACAACTGGAGACTCACACCGAATGCATCCAAAAACCACCTGCTCCTCTCAAACCACGGAAATAAACCATACTCGCCAACCATCACCACGGGCGGCCAAATAACCAAACCCACCGACAATGTGAAATACCTAGGATCTACAATGGACTATAAATTAAAATTCATTAAACACGTACAAAATATCAGAATAGAACTAACTAAGAGAGCAAAACACTGCCGCACTCTTACTTACAAAAACAAGGGTATCAGTACCAAGACAGCAACCATAATATATAAAGTGATCTGCAGACCACTACTGAATTACGCTCATATTTTAATCACCAACGCGACTGATAAAACTAAACGGCATATACAGACAACAGAACAGATAGCACTGAGACTTATAACAAAGATCAGACACTCAGCAAACCCATTACACAACCCACCAAACCGATTACTCTACGAACGCACAAACTTGACAAGGATTACGGAAATACCACTCATCCTACAATCAAGATGGAAACACAAACCTTACAATTGAACCTTCCTGGACCTTCTCTGTTTAACAATGCCGACCAGACAAACGCGTTTCCTCTTCCCTTCCTCAACCCTATTGGAGCATCTCCAAATATAAATTATATACATACTTACTAGTTACATTGAATATATTACTTATTTGCCCATTCAAACATTTGTAATTAACCCAGGGCAGAAAGATCTATACGTCCATAGCCTTTTCTTAAGAAAGAACTATTTTTACTACTACTGTTTGCGTAGGCTGTTCAAAAATATGAGTTTGAAATTGGACATTTTATGTTCAGCATACAATATAAAAAGTTGCTAAAATATTAACACGGACTTTCTTTCAAAAATGTTATTTTTGTTGCAATGTTTGATTTGGTGTTATCTCCATCCGGTTTCGCGTGAACGCTGCTTTGATTCCTAATGATATTTTCTCTTAAACTGGAGAATGATCGAGAGGTGAATACTCATCCATTGAGTGTCCACCCGTTGTAGTTGTGTATCGTTATTGTTGTTGATTAATGAAGCTTTAGCAGATTTTCCTTGTCAAGGTAGTTCATAATGCTACTCAGAGCTTCTCTACATCGGATCTCACGGACGCCCAATTCACTCAGTTCAATTGTTTCCAATTATTCATAATAATAACGTAAGTTCTGAATGAAAGTTTGCAAAGTACCCTCAAACCGGTTGACACTATTTCTTCTATTTGTTTCAGACGCACCTTGACGACATGCACCAACCCAGAAAATTCAGCACAAGAACTGAGAAGGGTTGGAGACTACCAACAGAAACTGTGCGAAAGATATTTTGTAAGAAACGTCTCAATAAATCAGCTTACAAGTTAAAGTCCTTCACACAGTTCATTTAGCTGCAAATAATTTTAAAATGGTCGTAAGTAGTGGCCTCTGAAACCACCATAGATTTACAGGCCATTCGTCGCATGGTCAAAAGCAACTGCACACATTTTCTCAACGTATTTTTTTGAGAATAGTGAACAATCGTATTAAAGTTTCAACTTTTAACCTTTCGTATTTGCAAAACTACAAACGTTGACATAAGTATGATTAAGAACTTTCTTTTCGTAGTGAAACACACCTTGTAGCTATTGTACAAATTACAAATCCAGTAGACATGTTTTAATTAAAATATTTTTAGCAAACTTGTCGTAAACGCTATTTAATTTATATTTTTGGCCCTGTAGAAATAGATAACTTTTCTAAAAGCTTGTTAATTGAGTTTCCGTTTCTGAAGGGCAAAACAGTCCGATACTCAATATTTTCCACTTTTCAAATTGGAAATTTTTAAATATTTCGGTCAAGATTAGAATTCCAATTTATTCAAAAAATATTAGTATTAACTTTGGATGACACAATTGCTCCCGTAAGAAAGTTTAATTGTAAACAAAATCAACTTTCACACAAAAATTGGACGGAAAACATGTGAAAGGTGGTTTTTAATTACCGCAACTCATTCGATCCTACTCCCCTATATACAACAGGCATACACAAATATTCCTTTTACAAAATGACAAATAAATTTTCTGCTTTGAGAGTGATCATATAGTAAGCTCGTTTTGAATTTGACGATAATTAAACCAACAGGGACAAACAGATATAAAACAGAAGCAAAATACTGTTGAGCGTATGTTTATGCGGACATTTGACAAGATATATTCATTTGATATTCACTACTGAATTAATTACTAACTCAACTATGAATAGTTTAATAAAGCCTTTTCGGATTTAATTTGTGATTTTGCAGCTTTTCGGCTTAACAGTTGATTTTGCCTGTTTACGATCGCCGAATTTGATGGGATTGGACTTTGATTTAGTAACGATTGGAACGTCGGACGTATGTTTGCAATTTAAATGTCTGATACCAGTAGAATTTATACAAACTGAGAGTCATTTAGGTTGTTGAATTGATACACATGCCGCCTGTAATGTTTCGTTAGATATTTTAATTGAAGCCAAACAACAAGTGGCATCCAAAGCAAAAACATTAATTCCATATTTTTTGTCACCCTGCCCGAAAAACGAATGTTTGCCTGATGCAGAATATATTATTATTATTATTATATTATATATTGTTTATATGTACGAACAAACAAAAGCAATAAAATAAATACAAGATGTTTCCTACAAAATTTATTCATTCTAGGCGAGTCAATGGGGTTCCAGATATCATAAAAGCTAAACAATAATAAAACTGATATCAACCATCGTAAGAAACTTTTCTTTAAATGTTCTAGCAAAGCTATGATGAATTTTATTAAACATTTTTTTTCCATAAAGTCTCACTTTACTTTTACCACACTTTGCAAATATGTTTAATATAGGGAATGAGACCATCTAAATATCTCCAAAACCGCTTAAGACCGGATTTTTTCGTATGCGTACTGTTCGAAATTATGGATTTAGTCTCAGCTTTAATACTATTGCCTTAGTTTGGCGCTTTCAGGTGGTCAAGTTCAAAATAATACCTGAACAAAATCTGCTTTTACTTTAAAGTGCGTTTTTATAAGATTGTGAAGCGATTTCTAGCCGATTATGATAATCATGTGTTTAAGCAATATCCGGATTGCTTATTGGTGAGCACCCCGATAATTTTCAGTAAAAAAAGCAATCCTTGAGAAATGTAAAAGCTATGTTCATAACAATATTTTCTTTGCGCTGGAAGAAAAAAGCAGAAGGTAAAAAAATCTATAATTGATAAAGCAGATAATCAGCACTCGGAAAATGAACAAATATCTTTAGTAATGACTCACGCGCTATAGAATTGGCTCTTCGGGAATAGAGTATCACTTAAGTAGCTCGCTGTAAAGTCGCGATTGGAAACAGAGAAGGTCAAGAAATCATCAGAGAAATATGCAAACAAAAATAGGACCATGCGGCTTCCCACAGATAAAATATAAAAGCGAGAGGAACATACAGTACAAAACGTATACCGTAATTTATGAAAGAAGACGAAATTAGAATGAGGTCAGTCCGAAGACATCATTAAACTGCATAAGATGCATTTTACGCTTCCGACGTCTCCAACTGAAAACAGGAATCAATGTTCACTTTCTATAGAGGGCTGCAATACACCATCGACCAAATTAATAACAATAAGAGTATCAAAAGAGATAGACTTTCAAGGTCATTTCTTGGAACTAATGGATTTTTCGAGTTTTTAGGCCATCGATGGGTAGAATTTCTTCCTGACGTTTCGCAAGCACGAGTGGCTTGCATCTTCAGAAGTGGTTGGCTTGAACGCTTACATTGTTCCGATGCGACCCCCCGGGGGCAGTCCGTATTTATGTACTCCGAGTAAACTTTTACTCCAAGTAAACTAGCAGCAACAGACAGTGAACTTCTAAACCTCTTCTACAAACTGGGAAACGGTTTGCATTACGCTGACTGGAGTAAGGTCGACACCATCTGCCACAACAGCATGCAAGGAGAATTGGACAGAGCCACGAAGAGACAAAAGAAGAGGAACCAAATCTAGAGGAACAACCCAAACGACATCAGGCCTGAACCCAGCACGAACTGTGAACCTGAGCAGTCATTCTCTGTTTACATAGGTAACCTTGGACGAATCTATAGAATTAGTTGCGGAGCTATTTGAAGAGAGTACAACAAATCTGTGCAAGGTTTGTCTAAAGGGCAGCTACTTCCTGTGGAATGCAGATTACTTCGAACAAAATGAAGGAGTAGCCATGGGAAGTCCACTCAGCCCGGTGGTGGCGAATCTATTCATGCAGAAATTTGAGGAAACAGAGTTGAGCACAGCATCACTTAAACCAACGATCTGGTACCGATATGTCGATGACACGTTCGTGCTATGGAGGCATGGACGCGAAAACCTGGACATCTTCCTCGACCATCTAAACAAACAGCACCTAGACATCCAATTCACCATGGAAGTTGAACAATACCACCAACTGGCCTTCCTGAATGTTTTGGTGTCTAAGGAGGGGAATCCTTTGGACCACAAGGTATATTAAAAAGCCACCCACACGGACAGATATCTTCACAAGCTATCTAACCACCATCCGAGTCAGAAGCAGGAAATCATTTAGATTTTTACGAATAGAGCCAGAAAAATATGTGGACCACAACATCTAACCACAGCAACGGATATTCCCAGTTGGACATCAAAAAAGCTGTAGGAGTGGGCCGTGCTGAAAAAGTGAATCCACTCTGAAAGCTTTCCTGTCCTTTGCTCCCAGGGTTATGGACAGAATTGGGAGGCTCCTGAGGAAACACACCATAAGAACAATCCACAAGCCCACAACAAAGATCCGAGAAAGTCTAGAGTCAGTTAAAGACAGAAGACCCCCCCTCGTAACTGCAGGATTCCATGCTCCTGTGGAAGCGTCTACATAGGAATTAGTAAGAGATTCCTTGCGACAAGAATAGAAGAACATCGACGGAATTGTAAACTGGGACATGTGGAAAAGACGGCAGTAGTGGAACGTGCCTTCAGCGATGGAACACACAACATCTATTTCGGAGAGGCACATCTCCTGGTCACAACAGGCCCCCGACTAATACGAGAAGCCATTGAAATGTACAAACACGAGGACAATTTCAACAGAAAAGAAGAGACAATGGCGCTAAACAGGATATGGTTTCCAGCACTCATCAACGTAAAAACAGCATGAAAAAGCCACAGCTGAGGACAGGAGATAGAATCCTCTACACCGGAGGATCGCAACAGCCAACAGAATGCGCAAGCTCCGATGACACAGGCCACGTCATCACAAACCACGTCATCGCAACCGGTGCATAAATACGGACTGCGTCCGAGGAATCGCATCGGAACAGTGTAAGCGTTCAAGCAAACCACTTCTGAACATGCAAGCCGCTCGTGCTTGCGAAACGTCAGGAAGAAATTCTACCGAACGACGGCCTAAAAACCAGCAAAACCCATTAGTTTCAACACTAAGAGGATACCTACTGCAATTTAGAGATGTCAACGTTATAGTCGGTTTAGAAGAAACTGAAAAAGTCAGACAGAGGGTCAACAATTTCGGGAGCACCACCTAAATGAAATCGCATACCTTCGAATAGATATATGTACAAAGAGAACCTATTTCGCTCAAAAAGAATGCCTTTTTATGAAACGAAAGGTTAGAAGTCAATTACTGATTCAAAACCTTGGAACAGAACTAGCCCGTCCAATGAGATAGTTTACATAAAAGTATTCGACCCCGCCAAAGCCGGGGCAGACCAGAACCTGATTTTTAATAATATCATGCGACTTCTAAAATGTGCTGTTCTTCAAAAAGCTGCTAAAACTGCTATAGCCTACATACTAAATGGAAAATCTAACATAAAAAAATAATATACCGAGTGACCTAATTAACCACAACAAACAAAGAAGTCAATTTGACATAGGTAGATGTTCATTGTATGTTTACAAAAGATATTATTTACTTAGTTATAATTCGTTAACTTCCCATTCAACCGATGTTACTGGTAAGTCGGAAATCTATAAAAAAAAAACCTGTATGATAACTGAGACACTGTTTCTATTCCTTCCAGCTGTTCCATTCTGTGTACGTTATGTCGCAAAAACACTTTCCAGTAGGTAGAAACATTTTAGTGGGTTTTCCATTTGCGCACGTCATAAAAATAATTTTTCCATGATTTATCAAAATGAATTGGTCGCAAATTGCAAAGGTGGAAACGGAGTTGCGGTTTGCCGTGTCACGAAGCCGTGCTTCTGCCAGAAAATCTACAATGCGAGGACGGCTGCAGGATAATGATTTCTACCCGTTCCAGACAATTAACGAGGGTTAAAAGGGGATTCAATTGTACCGACTTAACAGGTGCGGGTGGACTGACCAGGCGAAATTAAACATGTCGACGGAATCATTATTAAATTACGTCCCTGATTTCGTACATTAATATACTTTGAGTAGGGCCAGGGGTCTTGAAATTGGGTAGTTAGGATTTATGGTTCAAATCAGATTTGACCAAATACCTCTTCTTAATTAGAATTGTTCCAAACCTGATTTTAAGACAAAGCACACCTATTAATTTTATGCCAATTCAATAATTGGATATCACTATTAAAATTTCATTTTCTCGAAATAACTTCGAATGACGAGTTTATATAAATGCACTTTCTGTTTATTGAGACGTGAAGAGTGAAATTTGAAGGGCGTGTACTTTCTTGGTGACAGCACA